GGTTTCAACTTTAGTTCATGATTGCACCAAAAAGTACAAGTTCTATGAGCAAGAAAATTCCCTCTGTAAAGAGACTAATTTCACCATGTTTTACCGGGCTTTCTCTTCGGGAACATGATACAATTCATTTCAGGTTTGAGCTCAAAATAAGTAAGTGCACAGTAATTTTATTCACATCTCTTAACTCTCTCTTTCAATTGTTGTGGATTTACTCTAGAGTTATCACTTAACTTATTAAATTTTTCATACCACTTTTATATATACGGGTGTCTTCACTATGCTTCATGCAGATTAGATGGATATATATATGATTCTTTTCCTTTTTTTTCCGCGTTTTATATACTCTATATATAGAGTCACATACCGTAATTTTGACACTCTCATACGAGTACATGGAGTTCCTATTGTGAAAGTAGGCACTTCAGGCTATCTTTCCATGTGCTTGTCTCCAAATTGATTGATTTTTTTATACAAAACCATCATTTCTGAGGAGGGCCCTCAAAATATCGTAATTTTACGCTACCGCTCAATCTGTAGAAGTACCACACACTCTTCACTAGGAGTGTGCTATGTTCAACGGGTTCAAACTACTGTCTGTTCAATGAATAGTGGACTCTGGCATTTTTTGAATAACTCAAGAACGATGATAGATAGACTTGAAGTTTTTGCCAAACGAAGAAAAAGACTTCACATCTTTTGTTAATAGAAAGGGTTTGAGAATATTTCTCCAACTAGGAGATCTTTCTAGGAGAATATTTCTAGGAGATCTTTTGAAACCCAGACGTGTAGTAAAATTTTCCAATAGTATTGGATTAATTTTTTCATGGGCTGGTAGTCCGAGGTGTCCTCTTCAAAATGGGAGTCAGGCGAAACTTTGGTTTTCCGCAGTTTGGCCGTTGCCGTGGATTTTCTACCAGTCCTAGGACTGTTACTCGGTGCCTATTGGTAGCCCTGAAAATGGGTATCCTTTTTAGATTTTTTCATCGTATAATCACGATTAGCGAACAAAATGAATCATATCCACAGGTTTTCAACTCGTTCTGCTGTATTTTGAGTGATTAGTGAATTTTTTAATATTAGTCAACAATAGTCTGAAAACCGAATTTTCCGTAAAACTCGCTTCTCGCCACAATTTTAAAACTTTTTCTAAAGACAAACATTGTCACGAGACTCAGCATGGTCGATTACCAATAATTCACCCGTTTTCAGGGCTACCAATAGGCACCGAGTACCGGCACTGGGACTGGTAGAAAATCTGCTGCAACGCCCGAACTGCGGAAAACTAAAGTCTCGCCTGGCTTCCATTTTGAAGAGAACACCTCGGGCTATCAGCCCATGAAAAAAATTAATCCACTACTGTTGGAAAATTTTTCTACGCTGTTTGGATTTCCAAAGATTTTCTAGAAAGCTGAATTTTTCGCCCTAATAAATCACTCTGCCTAGACGCTATTACAGACCATGATGCTTAAGAGACGTTCGCCAAAGCATCAAGCATACAGCAAAAGAGCTGTCACACGAAATTTTTTAACATACAGTTTTTATTCTATTTTCGGGTTGGACAATCAAAACTGGAGTTATGAACAAATTTTTAGCTTGTTTGATCTCAGTTTGTCGGAGTTATAGAATTTTGAAAAAGAGGACCATCGAAAATTTTTGAAAGTGACCTGCGCGATGTTTTGATCATAACTTCGCCAAATTTTATCCATTCTATTCAAACAATGTTTCATTCGAAAGCCCAACAAAAACTGAAAAAAACCAGCTACGTTTAAAGCTTCTAAAGCAAAAACTGAACTTTTGGGAAGATGAGCTAGTGAAAAATGACAATTTCAAATGAGTAATTTTTCGAATAATTCGACATTTACTCAGACTATTTGACATTTTCCCAAAATACTGAACCCAACAGCTTGTAGAGAATTCAATTGTCTGCAGAATCAGCTATAAAACTTTGTTCTAAGACCTCAGCAACATGGAGAAAAATTGAAAACAAAATGGCCGGCTGAAGCTTTTTTAACAACTTTTTTCCTTATTTTGCGACTTCTATAGTATAAACCTGGTTTTAAATCAAAACTAAGGTGATATTCAGAATCAGCATCAAAAACTACATCTACTGATATAGCTTTGGAGTGCTTTGGAGAAGACAATTTTTTTGCGTTTTTTTTCAATTTTTCTCTTTGAGTTTTGAGGACTTTTTTATCTTCTTCAAAGCACTCCAAAGCTATATCATTTGTTTTGAGAATCCTCATCTTAGCGAAAGCGCTTGGCACTATGTTGATCAAATCACACCCATCCACAGACTTTGCTTTCAAATAAGAAGTGATTTTTGTATCATACTACTTGCCCCATATATCGTTCAATAGACTATGCTATCTGACAGCGCATAACACGATCATAATACACATACTTAATACAAGCACCATTGAGAAACTAATTGTTTGATGATACCAGACGTGCAGAAGCTATCCGTTTGCTTCGACAGCCGTCGGGAGAAAATACTTTTATTCGAGGAAATTTTATTGAAATGTTACTTTTTTGCTTATTATACATTGAATAGCGTCTTCTATATTGATTAAAGTCTTATTCGATCTATAATGAAACCATTTACACTTTGATTTATTATTGTTATTTGTTTCGTATAGATATACTAGTCTTTCATTTTAGGAGAAGGCGTCTTTCTTCCGAAACCCAGACTGTGTAGAAAAATTTTCCAATAGTAATGGATTAATTTTTTTCATGGGCTGATAGAATAAAAGCTCATTCCACCACGATTTTGACAAGAAACGTAGAATTTGTTTACCGCGATTGTAGCTAATGTTGTATTTTTGTTGTTGCAGTTAAAATTTAAAAATATAGGCAAGAGACACGGTTGCGGCGAGGTCGTCTCACCAGTTTGAACGCAGTCCCGGCAGAATTTAATAGCAATCTCCGCACGAGTTGATCAAGATAGTGCCGAGCGCTTTCGCTAAGATGAGGATTCTCAAAACAAATGTAAAAAGGAAGGTTTGTCTTGAAATGCGGAATATGCTGCTATAAGAAGCAAATATTTGCGTTGGACTGATGTGGCATTTTCGTTTTGTTTTCAAACAACGCAAGCAATTTTTCTTTGAACTTCTGTTTTTTAAATAAGTGCCATGGCTGAAATTCCGTTAGCAAGACGTTTAATGTGCTGGTTTCATATGATTCGTAAATGTGGGGAACATAGAAAACTAATTAAAGATAAAAATAAATGGTTATTTTTACCTATATGGTTTAGAAGATTTTCTGACCAAAAACCAAGGACTTGGTTTTCTAGCCGTCAGGTTTTTCAGAAAACTATTATCAACTTTTCTCATGAAACGGCGATACGCACCAAATCTGATAGAAAAATCTTGGAGCTATTCAAAACGGTATTCAGATTGGTCCCAATCTGTACTAAAAGATCAAAGACAAAGGAGTTCTTGTGATTATGACACGCTGTGCTGCATATATAATACTCAAACGCTTAATGCTAAATCGCTCAATTTAACGAGTTAAATGGAAACGAATTAGAGAGTGTCCATTTGTACTTTTTATCTCATCTAAAAGAGAAAATGTTCGACATCGTGGCGAGCTAGTTTTCAAAAATAGGTACCGTGCCGATTCCGAGATACAGGGCCACCAATGTCGCTGTTTGGCTTAATTAAAAGTGCAATTTTTATTTTTTTTATTGATCAGTTTAAAATGGACTTTTTCCACTGCTATGACTTTGCAGCTTTCACTTCGGACCACGGTAGTCGAAGGAGCTGTATGACCATAAGTTTTGTTTTTGCTCTAATCGTGATTAACGCTGTCATGTGAATATAGTGCACGACATGACAAAAAAGCACAGAAGAGTAGAAAAAGAGTAGTGATCACAAGAGCGATGAACTTACATAACCAACAACTGTGTAACATTCCTACGACTATCGTCCCTATGAGGTTTTTTTTGGTTGATCGGCTAATCGATCCGTCACAGCTCATGGCGACTACGACTTCATGGTGTACAATCGCGATTGTGCATCATGAAATCGCAGTTTTTTCTCCAATCGCCATGACCGCAATATGATGTTGATTCGTTTCATCTTTGAAGAGTAATAACATTAAGAGCAAGAGGAACGATATATGATGTTGCCACCATAACATAGATCAATACACGTTCTTTAATTGAAAACTGACCAAGATTCAGCGAAAATTTCAGATCAAATGTTCGAATTTTAAGTAGGTTTCTGTTCCGTAACCGTGCTAATAACTCATCAACTGGTTTTATTAAGAGCAAGATGAATACTCGTTGTAGTGGAAATGAGTTTATTCTAAGATGGCAGTATTGATTTATAAACGCAGATATAATTGTGAAACAAATCCCAATGAACCACACTCGAAATGTTAAACATAACTGTTCATAATTATCTTTGTTGGATACAATGGAAGCAATTTCTTCGTACGACATTTGATCGGCATCTATAGAGCAATGGTAGTCGCTGTTATTATTACGATTTGTCAACATCTTAAAATGAATGAAAGAATGAATGTGGTAAAAATGGGTCTTTTTTTCCGTATTATATCATACCTTATAACCTTTTCTTTCTTTTTCGTTCCATAAATGAATAGTATCAAAAAGAAAGAAATTGAATTGCATCCGTTCGAGAGAAAGTGACAGGAGTTCACTTCTGTTGGATACCGTTAAAAATCTGTTGCTTAAAAGTCGATTTTTTAACCAGCGCATACTAATTACCCATATTTTCTCATCTTGGTACTTGTCCATCTTTATCTAATAAAGATTGTAATGTCAGTTTTAGTGTGCGTATGTGTGTATTTAGCTATACAAAAATAAACCATCATAGTTAATTGAGTGATAAAATATCCCTATGCTCTATAGCATCACAAATAAAAAGCAAAAAGTCCAATAGATTCACTATTATAACAGAGTGAACGCTCATTGAATCAGAGAGATTAGTAAAAGCCGGTTTTATTTCAAAAAGTACAACAAGACTGCTAAAGAATTCTATTCAAAATAATCGATCTCTACGATAAAAGTTTGTTGCCTTAAAATCTTGTTCTCTCTCAATTTTAAGTAATTGTTCATATCGGTACGGTCGACGAAATGCATCGCCCATAATTGTTTTCGCTCTATACTCTCTCAGTGCAATTAAATCAAACTCTACTAAAATAACCTCAGCTTGGGTTAAGTTTTGAGCTGGTATCAGGTTTAATGGTTGTCCATCAAAATTGAAAGCAGCGGACCATCCATTGTATAACGGCTGAGGATAATTTGCCATTGCTGTAATAAGTGCATTTTCAAACGAACGCACTTGCAGTTGTGAGAGTCTAAGTTGATCAAAATAGCAAGCGTTTGGAATGAGAATAAGTTCAGCTCCTTTCACCATTAAGATTCGTGCCGATTCGGGCTGCTCTCGATCATAACAAATCATTGCACCCACTTTTAATGAACCTTTTTTTGTATTCAAAACAGCAACAGACCAGCCATCACCAGGATACGTTAATCCTTCAATATCTGTGAAATCACATGTATGTACTTTCGAATAATTCAAAATAATTGCACCAAATCGATCAATGAGGCTTATTGAATTCCTTGGTGGTAATGTTCCATTTTGATTATCTTCTAAATACGTCACACCTATAGCCATATTCAATTCGAGTGCTAGTTGTTGAAAATAATTAATATAGCTTGAATCAGACTTTACTGCCAATTTTAACCATTCGCGAACGGGCTGTTCATTATCGGGATTATAGCCTGGAAATAATATAGAGTAGCCTACGTTCCACATTTCAGGCATAACAACAATATCGGCACCTGACTGAGCCGCCTGTCGACAATAATTAGTAGCAATTTGTATATTTTCACTCACTGTCTTTCCAGGCATCATTTGCAGTAAGGCGACAGTGATATTAACACTCTCCATTGATACTGGTATGTGCCCATTTGTAATGGTGCCAGTATTGATTAAGAACAATGCGAACAAAAATCGCACATTAATCATCTAAAATGCAGTTTTAAAACACGAAATCACTAGCTTATTTTTCATAAAGATCATAGATTTGAGAATATCTTTCCATTGTTGATCAAACTGTATTTATTCTTTATATCTTTTTTTTCATATTAGGACATAGTATAAATTATTATATTCCTAATATCATTAAATTTGAAAATCTTGCATATACCTACCGTGCAACAACCTTCATCGGAAAACATGTACAGAAATAACGGTGAAGAACATACCCGATAAAATATAAATCTCAGCTCGATTTTAATTAGATTTCTGTTGTATAATATCAATTATCTTCTCTTTTCGACAAATATCCTTTGGATAAACGAGTGAACATTTTTTTATGCCATTTCTCATTTAAGAAATTTGAGAATCAACTATCGTTTATCTGAGCTGCATTTATTCACTTGTCAACAGATGGTTGAATCTTCTACACGTGTTTTAAAGACCATCCGTTTCTTATTTTGACCTTATTAAAATTTACTGAGGAGACGTCTAATTGGGCGAAAAATTTTATAAATTTGATGAAAACCCATTGACGCAAATATGCTTTTTCGACTTTTTCGATCTTATAAGCACGTTTAGCGGAAAAAATTCACCATATTCTGAAGTCTTGAACCCTTTCTGATGTTTATTGAGTGAGTAGTGAATTTTTTAATAGGTGAAAACAGTCTGAAAACCCAAATTTTCGTAAAACTCGCTTTTCGGTAGATTTTAGAACTTTTTCTAGAAACAAATATTGCCACAAGACTCAGCATGATCCATTACCCATAGTCCATCCGTTTTCAAGGCTACCAACAGTCACCGGGTGCCAGCCCAGGGATTCGCAAGAAATCCGACACAACACCCGAGCCGCGGAAAACCAAGGTCTCGCTTGACTCTCATTTTGAAGAGGCTAGGTTGGGCTATCATAGCATGGAAGAAAATCAATACAATCCTATTGAAAATTTTTACACACGGTCTGGTTTTCCAAAGATCTTCTCTCTATTTCTCTTTGGTTTTCAGTAAAAGCCGTCTTTCTCAGCAAGGAAAAAGAATTTTGAAAAAAGCTGAACATAGTTTTGAAGAGGAGCATCTGGCGAATCTAGCCATATAAAACATTAACTCTAGCACCTCTAGAGAAATCTGTGTTAGGTTTGCAAAACTTATGTAGTACTTTTGAGACGTACCGATTTCCGACATCGCCGAAAATCTATTTTTCGCTCTAGACCTTTGAAATTTGCGTTTTCAGACTCGGTTTTTCACGCTGAATCTGAAGAAGTTTGTTTCAGAGCTCCAGGCTGAATAAGTCAAAAACTACAGCCTATTTTCCGAAACTTTGTATTTTTACAGTTTTTGACACCCTTCGATTGTTTTGAAGATTTTAACCGGAAAACAGTGTCAAGAAAATTCGAGACAGCCATATTCGTGATCAGCTTGAAATTCTCTATCGAATGGTGTATAAAAAGTGCAAAAAAAATTCACTTGAAGTTTGACTTATCTGCATCTTATGTGTGCTCTGTATAGATGCACATTTCCTGAAACTCATTGAAAACGGAGCTTGGAAAAAAATGGAAACGTTACTCTACTGGACACATGTTTTGAGAAAACATCCGGCTGGAGGGAAAACCTTTTTTCTACCACAGGAATGAGTTGAACTGAAAATTTTTTTATGGATCGATAGCTCAAACATTCAGCTTTCAGAATATATGCATTTCAATTTTTAACTCTATCGTTCTTCTGACACGAAAAAGCGATGTCCTCAAAAATAGCAGAAAAATAAGCGAATATCGAAACTTACCTATCTCGGCCACTAAATTTGCCGTTGGCTAGTTTATATAAGACACTATTTGAATCATGAAAAATCTCGCTTTCGTTTTTTCCCCTAATTTCCATGTGGTTGCCCACTGCGCACCGAATATAATCTTATTTTGTAATCCAGATTTTCATCCGCATTAAACTATATTCAACTTCAAATCGAAAAACTATTTGAAAAAAAGGAGAGGAGTGGACGTATGTTAACATTTTGAACAAGGAATATTTAGTTATACAGACGCATATAATAATATTTTTATTCCATCTATTAGCTGTAGTATATTTCTTGAGGGCCAAAGAATTATTCGTATGAAGAGAACTGAGGGAAAACTACTATGTCGTCAGTTACTATGTCTTCTTCTCGTTATTTAAAACTCTCGTTTTTTAGTGGAAATAACTGCCAAGTAATCAAAAGCAGAATACAATAAAACACTTATTAAATGTGTGCATTTGAATAATGAGAATTGATATTCACATCAGCAATGTAATATGCCAAAACACATTGACAACTACCATAATGAAAACACCGATCAAAACCATATTACACCCATCACGATCATAGATGAAAATAACATTGGAAAATTCGAGTAAATATGAGAACAAATAGAATGCTGTCATAATGAAGCATTACAATTTCAATCAGAAATAGTTTTTCATTTTTCGATGATTTAGAACCTAATACGATAGATAGTCACTCGTTTCTATAGGCAAGATGACCGATTTCATTTGATAATGTATCATTCGACATTCAGACAAGATATGTATATGGGCAACAGTACATGTTGACATTGGACTGTTTAATTTGTCTAACGAGGGAATCCCACGAAGTGATTAAACGCTTTTTGCTCGGAATCTAGTGGGTTATAGGTTATCGACCATGCGGCTTCCGCATAGCCCTTCGAAGACCTGGTTTTCTAGAAAACGAGTTTTTCAGAAACCCCAAAAA